GAGGTTTATTGCCCTCTCCCCACCATTTTAGGGAGAGAAATAGCAATAGGGGTGAGGAATGTGACAAAATTAGCATCCTTCAAATCTGCCAAAGCCCCTCCTTAGGAGTTCTAGATGGAGAATTACACATAGAAAGGCAATGTGACCAAAGTCTGAATGGAAATAATGACAAGAGATCAATTATTAACAACTTAAGTTTACTAAGAAACTTTTTGTCATCAGTAAACTACTTTTAACACTTTCATAGAGTTACAGTAAAACCTTGCCATAATGAATTAGGGTCCAAAAATTCCAATCATGTAACTTGTATATCACGTTACTGGATTAATAAAACAGTATTTCTCAGTATATAAAGTAAAACCAATGATGCTAAAAATAATAATGTACACATTTGATGATAGAATGTACAAAGAACTGAGGCTGTATGAAGGATGGGTGCCATTCACAAGTCTTTGGCTAGTTTGTATTAAAGTGGATGGCAGTATTACATGATTTTTTGTACTTTAATATATTTTAAAACTAATGTTATTAAGGCTACTTGCAGGACTCCATTTGAATATAAATTAACATGAATTTAGGTTAGGAAACCGACTAGAATTTTCAAATATCTGTCCTAATTATAGGGATTTTTCTCCACTTTCTTCAGTGATTGCTGCACCCTATTAGGAACCAAACACAGTTCTACATGGTAGAGATACAGTGGTGAAAAACATTTCCCTACGTGGAGGTTACATTTTAGTTGGTGTCAGTTTTGTTAATCATTAAACTTTTGCTGAAGTCCTGCCAATAATCTTCATTTCTAAGGCCGCTTTCTCCTGGAATGTCAAGATTCTTCTGCTGTGTCACATCTTGAGAACTGAGACACTTTACAGCTGTTGTATAAATAATGATCATATTTATAGAACAAATAGTTTTCTCTCCTCTGTGAAATGTCATGTTTGGTAAAGAATTTACCTCCCAACTGAGTCCTTAAAACACAGCATTTTAGAAAGCATCTTTCCCATGAAGATTCTTTGAACATCCTGAGTTCTGAAGGAACTTTTCACAATCATCAGCGTGGGTTTTCTAAAGAAGAGGAAGATGTGAACTCTAACTGAAGGCTTCAGCACACCTCACACTTCTATAGCTTCCCTCCAGTGTGGACCCTCTGATGGTAGACGAGATGTGACCTCTGACTGAAGCCCTTACAACAGACATCACATATGTAAGGCCTCTCTCCAGTGTGGACCCGCTGATGTGTGTGAAAATGTGAGGCCTGACTGAAGCCCTTCCCACACTGCTGACACGTATAGGGTTTCTCTCCTGTGTGGACCCGCTGATGAGCACTGAGGCCGGCACTCCAGCTGAATTCCTTCCCACACTCCTCACATCTGAATGGTTTCTCTCCAGTGTGAATGATCTGG